GCGGGGCGGTGTGTCGGACTCGAACCGACTAAAACCACACGGTGTGCCCTCTTTGCGCTTCCAGTTTAGGAGGGGTCCAGGTAGTTATCGCCTTCTGGACCCCCCCAGCGCCGGCCCGCTCCTGTTGCGGGCCCCGTCTCTGATCTTTCCTCTCTTTAGGCGACGTCCGGCACACCCGGACGCCGCCCCCTCGCGGCTGGCCAACTAATGCGGGTGGAGGGGAGAACCCATCCCGTCCACCCGCGGCCGGGCCGAATCCTCACTGCAGTCGCAGTGGTGGCAGGCGGGACTTGATTCCCTCCTAGCGACCGAGTACAGGTACTTTCCGAAGCAACCGTGCCCGGAAAGCACCTGCGTCAGCCGGAAGGAAAGGGTCCCGTGCTGCCGCCCCGCCCACTCGGCGATGACCGGCTGGAGAGCCTCCACGGCGGCGAAGCCAGCGCGTGGAGTCTCCAGCCGGAACGACCATCTCACCATGGTGGCTCGGCGAGAGGCTTCGCGCCACTCGCGCACGTCTTCGGGCGGAGGGCGAAATCCGCTCTCCGCCCGGAAGTCAGCCACTCGCCGATAAACTTCGGCGAGCACTTCCGCCTCCAAATCCCACGGGGGTGTTCCGGCCAAGGCGCAAGCCGCCTCGGTGGACACCGTGCGGTATCCGCGTATGGCTCTGACCGCCAATATCCTCTGGGGGCGCCAGAGGCGCGCCCTATTCGGGGCGGTCAGAGCCGCCACCCACACCGGTGCACCATAAAGCGCCATGGACCTGACAACCCCCGCGTACAGCCGCCTCGTGGGAACACTGGCCCCGCCCAAATTGGGCAAAAGTCGCCCTAGGGCGGAGGCAGTGCACCAGCTTCGGACCAAGCTGTCGGAAGTGCTCGTCGAAGAGCCACCTACCGTCTAGGACCAGACCCAGGTACCTCATCTGGGCCCGGACCGGTACGAGGACCGAGCCGACCTCGATTGAGGCGCCGGCGGGTGGACCACGACGGGGCCCATGAAATAATAGGGCCTCCGTCTTATCCAGGGCCACCCGCAAACCCAACGCCTCAATGCGCCCGACCACCAGGGAAACTCCCGTGGCGGCCAGGCGCGCCGCCTCCTGGAAGTTAGCCCCCCGGGCCGTGAGCAAGGTATCATCCGCGTAGCAGATTACACCCAGCCCGGGGGGGAGACGCCCTCGTAGGGCCCAGTCGTACCCGATGTTCCACAGGAGAGGTCCTAGGACAGACCCCTGCGGAACACCGCACGACATGGCCCTGCGTCTCAAGACGCCATCTCGGTCCTCGTACATGACGGTTCGCTCCTCAAGATAGTCTGCCACCAGCCGCCTCAGGTACTCCGGCACTCCGTGGTAGCGGAGCGCTTCCCTGATGCAGCTGAATGGCAGACTATTGAAGGCGTTGGCGATGTCCAAGGACACCGCCAACACCACTCCGCCGCAGCTCACGGCCTCCTCGGTCACGGCCCTAAGGCGCATTACGGCATCGATCGTCGAACGCCCCTCTCGGAAACCGAATTGGGCGTCCGACAGATCGGGGCCAACCTCGCAAAAACTTTACACAAACCCTATACCAACCCGTCTGGCCAGCGTGGTATAGTTAGCCAAAACCTCCTTTCTAAGGAGAGGCCTATGTCCAGCAGTGGACTATTATAAGCTGTTGTTGATGATGATTAACTAATCAACCATCGCCATCGCCGCCCATGAACGTCTGCAAGTGAGGAGTCACAAACGCGTTGCCGGCCTTTTAGGAAGAAGTACGCTCTTTTCTTGAATGTTTGAAGGTCGTATCGGTCCGGAAATACCGCAGACGATAACCCGTTCCACAGATTGGTTGTGCGGGGCAAAAATTGTCTCGAAAAGTGCACAGTAGTGGAGCGCCAACTATCCAGGTAAAAAGCATGAAAATTTTGACGTGTGGAACGACGGCGGAAATTTGCGACTGGTATTAGTCCAAACAATTCCTCGGAGCACTCTCCATAGTATATGCGATAGAGAATGCAGAGTGAAGCTACATCTTTACGTAACGCCAACGAATCGAGCCGGTCGCAATCTTTTGGCAATCGACGATTCGAGTCGCTCTTCGTTGGATGCGGTCCAGAGGGAGAAGCTGATGCTGGTATATTAATGTATAAAGAAAATTCTTCTTACTCCTTTTGAAATAAATATGATGGACGGAACTTTATCATGTTTGGAATACTGAAAGTGTACATATATGTAGAATAGAAATATTCCGTGTACTGACGGATTAAGAATACGGAATGTCACCACCCCTGTTCATCTCGTGGGTGTCGTAAGAGCCTCCCAATAATCTCTATACTAACACGTGTGGGTAGCGTGGTATAATAGGCCAAAACCTTATTTCCAAGAAAAGGCTTAAGTCTAGTAGGCTGTTGATGATGATGATTTAAGTAGAAGAAGTGAACGAAGTTAATTTTCAAACAATATGTGGTATAAAGCTACATAAACGATAGGATCATTCACGCTACAATAATTTACACAACGACAGTTGAAATTATACTGGTTAATGAAACAAATCAAGACATTATAAACAGACGAAAATCGACCTTCAGAAAATCTCTGGCTCACATAAAGACGAAATAAAAGACTCTTTTACAAAAGCCGTATAACTACACACTTACGGAAGACAATATTATTATTTAAATAGAAAGGTTCCCTAGGGATGAGTTAACCTTTGTGCTAACGCATTTAATAGCTTGTTCAGAGTGCTTTTATTTATGAAGCCGTAGAACGTCAGCACTGCGCAGTTATTATTGAATAATATACTTTTTTTGGGAACCGTGAGATATTAGATTGAAATCTAATGGATGGTAGAGCTAGGGTTGTCGCTGATCAAATATAAATGTCATAATAGGAAAAATAATAAATAATAATATTCTATCACATGCACACAACGCCATCTAGTCCCAAACTAAGCAAAGCTGTACTATGGGTACTAGACAAACTGATATAAATACATCTATATTTTTTTTTTGGTAAATACATACTTATCAAACATTAAATTTTCATGCACACAAATGTTTGACTTGAGCGGGAATCGAATCCGCGACTTTTGGAATAGCAGTCCGTTACACAAACCACTGCGCCATTCGGGCGTCATCATAATCAATCAAATAAAAAGCTGGGATATAAATACAGCATGGAAAAGAACACCAAACGTTGATTTCGTGGGTCCATCTAAGTAACCAGATGTGTATAAGGTACGATTTTAAAGAGTTTTATAATAAATTTAGTACATTAAATCAGTCATAATCATTCAGTCATTCATTAAATCAGTCATAATCATTCAGTCATTCATTAAATCAGTCATAATCACTCAGTCATTCATTAAATCAGTCATAATCATTCAGTCATTCATTAAATCAGTCATAATCATTCAGTCATTCATTAAATCAGTCAATCAAATTGTCAGAACAGTGAGAGCAGTAAAAAGATTAGCGTCCAATTATTGGCCACTAAGTTCCTACCCGCTGTCGTGCTGTTTTCAGCTTTTTTGCGATTACTACGAATGTCACATTTTGCTTTGAGAAATTGAGTGTGATTTAAGACCGGCGAAAAAAAATATGTCACTTGGAAAAACTGGCATAATTCTTCGGTAATGGAAATAGACCCCGATACGAGAACGACGAGAAATAGACGGATCCCTCGGTATGTGGGGCAGACTCGCATTTACCTGCTTTAAAAAAAAAAGAGTATATGTAAACAACTTATCTAAAAACGTAACACATATCATATCAAAATCCTTGAACAGCAGACAAGTCAAAATAAATTATAGTTTAAAAAAACTAAAAAACCCGCTTTTGTTACTAGCCGAACTAAAAATTAGAAAATAATTTTCTATAGGTTCAAAAATTTTATTCTTTATATTACTATTTTTGCTTTTTAGTCGTTAATGATGATTATTTTATCATTAAAGACTAAAAACGTAAGTATGTCACATATGCTTCAGCAATCGCCTCTTAGTACACAGCAAGACACTACCGATGGGTCAAAATCACGTTCGAAGATTTCGTTACATGCATATACATACCAAGATAATAAAAGCGTGTTAAGATACGTTGCAAGCCTTTAACCCTTTTAAAAACATTTTTCCAATAACGGTAGACACTGAAATCCCTGACGAATATCGTTTTTGATTCAATTACCTACAATTGAATAAAACCCCAGATACATTTATAAAAGCCACATTAAGAAAGTTGGACGAACGCCCCGCAAAGCGAATTACCCTCACAAAGGGATGGTTCCTTTCATCTTTTATCTTTTTAAAGAGAATGTCACAAAAGAGTCGTTTTTACGCGCCGTCTGAGAAGATCTCGCCGTATTTTGTGAACAGCTAAAACTTGGACTGGCGACAATTGCTACACTTTGGTTGTATTGTCCTCATTTCTATGAGAATAATAGTTTTTATTGCCGAGATTAGCCGGCCAGTAGGTCGTTTTCAACAAGACCAAAATAATATACTTAAGGATGATGCATGACGCATGAAATTGTGAGGACTAACACATTTGACGAAAAATGTACTTTTACGAAGTAACTTCTAATCCTGCATCGCACTATTCAAGTTCTAGCGCTATTTAGTATACACCACCTTCATTAGAAGGTTGTGTATACTAACCACCCGCGATCCAACGGTTGATATTAATCAACCTGGGCTGCGAGGCATGATTGGGAGGTCCATAAAACCAGTTTCTCTACAAAGCGTTTATATAATAAGTATTGTAAGTATAGTTGTAAATGTATTAAACCGTAATTGCACCGCTTCTAAGGGTCAACTTCTACCTTCCTTAATGGATACTATATCCAAAACTAAGTAAATCATTGAAATCTGACTAGCCTCTCCAGAGATTAACGCGGTTTAAACAAATTGACAACCAAAACGATGCACAGACACTTCTGTCTCTGTATGTACTTAATCCTTAATGATCGAAATAAATTTACTACTACAAATTATATAATGAATATATCCATTAAAACTCACCGTTTATCAAACTCGTGAAGGTCTTCAGACGTGAACTGGCTTGTCACATCTAGTAACTGCTGTATATGATCACTGCAGATCCTGGATTTGCGTCTTTCATCATCTCTAACCAGGATGGTGGCACAACCTCCGTAGTCCAAGGATAGTGAGGGTTGTTGAACTACGATGGTGGTGCGACCAGATGGAATGGTGCTGGCTGCGGAGTCCAACGGGTTCGCTGTCACGTGGACTTGCGCCGCTGCATGTAACAAATAGAATACTTAAAAAAAACAATAATTATGTTGTTTGAGTCGAGATATCTTAATTTGAAATTATTCAGACATTAGAAGGTACTGAGTTCAGTTTAACAATGGACTCAACTAAGGCCAAATCGTGGGCCGTAATCCCTCCCGCTTATAGCCGAGAGCGCTGGACGTCCAACCGGAACCGCCTCTCTATAGCGCTCAGAAGTAAGCTATAGTAGGATGTAGAAGTTTGAAAAAACGGACGTGGAGTACAAATCATAATTCATGTAACGGTCATCCAGGGAAATCCGGGAAACCAGGTCATCCCTATTGGTAGACTACCAATAGGGATGACCTGGTTTTGACAGCTCATAGCGGCCATGTTTGATAATGGATCTTTGATGTCTCTTGACATTTGTGTTCAGTAAGGTTTGCCATTTTATTATGTCACGTTTCACTTTAAACCAACGCTTGGAAATTGTCCAAAACTTCTTTGAAAGTGACGAAGGAAACCCTGTTACTGTGAATGGCGAGCGCTATAACTCGATGTTAACCGATATTTCTTTCCGGTATTTAGCACTTTAAGGCACGTATCTTGTGGGATGAACAAGAGTTGATGAATAAATAAGTTGTTTTTGCCATCCAATGATAGTTCAGTTAATACTGGTAATTTAAAGCCCAATTTGTGTGACAAAAAAATGAATTATGGTTGAAACTCGACTACCAGGCGGCCTTTAGTTTGGAATAAAACCATGAATCAGAGGAACGACCTGTTGATCGACTGTCGTGATTGATAGCCATAAATCAAGTTAATGAATTTGTAACTTGATAAGGTACTGGAGATCAGGCTGTTCTAAGAATGAAATTCAAATTTGATAGTTTGGGCGTTAAGTCATCTACAAAAAACTTGTTTTCATCAATGCCAATTAATACACCTACATAAACCTAGACCTAAAAGTAGTTAATTAATTAAGTTTGACGCCCTTAATACGAGTAATGCCCATTTTCACCAACATCCCCTAAATTTTAAGGGCCACCTAGAGCAAGTTAGGTCCCTTAGTGATATTTTCGTTTTCACCAACCTTTAGAGGACACCTGAGTGCTTAGGTGTCTCTTAAAACTTAGGGGCCCAAATGTTGACCACCTAACTAACCCTAAGAGTTTTATTTTGGAGAAGAAAAACTTTGCAATGACGAACAATTTTAAGCAAAAATTTGTCTCCAGATTTCCATATTGCTGTGCTTGATTCATAATCTGTTTTTTGAAGATATTATCGATATTATTGAAAAGTTATTTTGAGTCCATAGACGCTGTTCGCCTCCTCATGTAAATACATTAACATATTAGCTATAAAATGAACTTCAAGTAACGCAACCCACACAGAAATTCGTATGTACCAAAGTTAAAAGACAGCTTCTCATTGTATATTTATAAATATTTGATATACGAGTATAACGTGTTTGTTTATAGTGTTTTAAGATCAAATTCATTTTTGAATGTCTCTTTAGAATCCAGTAAGAGATTGTTATATCTGGAAATAATTAATAGTTCTAATTCAAATAAACTACTAACTAAAAACTAATTCATAAGGCTGTTAATAATAATCTATATAAATATAATGTCTAAACTACCTGTGCTCTGTCTTCTCGAAGAAACAGGTGGGACAGAGTGCTGATGAGCGGACGATCGCCTTCTTGACGTCGTAAAAACTTCAGTTCCTTCCAACTGCCTTCTCAGTTTTGCGACCTCATCTTTATAGTACTCCTTCTCTTTTTGCTTATTCTTTACTCTTGGCTCACTCACTCTCCTCTTTGTTGTCTCAGGTTCAAATTTGAAATGCGTCTCATATTTTATTTGATTGGCTTTTGGACTTTTTGGTGGATCCATCTTAGGATCGTACGGAATTTGAATAGATGAAGATGCTACTGTCGTTTGGCTAACGTGTGTCCTATTCCTCGGCTTGTCCTGTCTTCTGGTTTGAGACATTGGATCTGGGAGAGGAACATCGAAAACGAATCTTGCTGGTCCCGGCCTCGGCGAGTCTAAAACATCAGTCGCTGATTGTGGTTTTGTGTAAGCTGGTGATTCAATATCAGAACTGTTTTGAGGTCTGTGGTAATGGGGTGGGGCTGTCGAAGGGGGATTATGGGGGATATTAGGATCATCCATGAGATTAGGCTCAGATGGTTCAGGGGGATCGGGCTCAGCGTCCATGGAGTCGTCTGTGCCTGTAATTGAGGTAAGCGCTGTGGCTGCAGAGTCTGTGCTTGTATTGATTGTCTTGTCAGATGTGGTACTGCTGCCCATAACGACCACCTGCGAAAGATAGAGAACATTAAGTTATTAGAAATACATGAGTCCAGGGATACAAGATCACAAAGTACTCGTATGTATATTAGTTATTATTATATTGCAAAATTAAGAAGAATATTGCTTGTAACTCCTAAGACTTTACAAGTATTATAAAGTAAATATTTACTAGCTATATTAAAATGTTCAATTAAATTTTTGTTTTTTTTTTTTTACATCTTCATGCACTCATGTACATCGGCGGACTTAATGCCCTGGGCATTCTCTACCAGTCAACCTTTAGGTGGTGTAGAAATCTTGTAGGGTAGGTGCACCGAGGTTACGATTGTAATCAATGATAATATTTTTTTTTTTATCTAAAACTAAGCAAATTCTACAAATATTATACATATAAGTTATAATGTAATACAAATATAATTACACATATATATAGAAATAAATATAGATTTAAATACATAGATATTATTTATGTTTGTACACTGTAAATGCTTGAATTTAGGAGGTGTACCATTTGTTAAGTCACTTCCGTCATCATTATTCTCATCTCAATTTTAAAATCAAGTCATTTACAAAATAGGAAACGTATTATAAACCATTTCGATCACAATCCCATTTTTTTATTGACAATATCACACCAATTAATTGATTTACATTTTCGACTTAAATTATCTTCGGATCAGCAATCCGAAGATAATTTTACGATAGATATTTATAGATATTTAACGATGCCTCGGCTTTCTGGATAAAAATTGGTAAACGATAAATTATGTACGATGTGCATTTAAAAATAAACAGAATCAAGTATGGTATTATTTTCTATCTGGATATTGCACTGATAAGACGTAATCTTTTAACAGTGCATAAAGATGATAAGTGCATCATCAGATTATGGCTGATGGTAAAATGATTTAAGAAAAGAACAGGGTAAGGGAGCTAGGGAAAGAGATATCGCGAGTCTTTGATGGGGAAATGAGATTGAGATTGCCGTAGCTAGAGAAGCTGAAGTCGCGTTGACGTCTATCCGTCCTCAACGTCCTGTGATTAGAGTGACTACTAGCACCAGGAGATAAACTCTGAAGAAGGCCATTCTAATTGCTTAAGGTATTTAATTAAAAATAAGCATTATCTATGTTATCTATGTAATCCGTGTAGTGACGGATTAAGAATAAGGAATGTCACTACCCCAATTCATTCCGTGGGTGTTGTAAGAGCCGTCTAAGAGAGCAAACTACGCAGGACAACTGCACTGCAAAAAGAAGAAAAACTTTAAACAAATCCTATATCAACCCATCTATGTAGCATGATATAGTAGGCCAAAAACCTTTTTCTAATGAAAGGCCTATGTCCAGCAGTGGACTATTAAAGGCTGTTGATGTGATGTGATGATGTGACTATCTATGTTTATGAGCAGAGTATCTTAAATCCATCATTAGGTACTTATTTTATTAACTACTAGTTATTTCTACATAACCTTTCGTGCAATCCAATCTGTCAGACTTTCATTCTGATTTGAAGTAACCTTTCCACCATGTCATGTGAAATATGTTTTTGTAAATAAATAATATCTACTGTAATAAATAATCGTGTACCAAAATCACTTGCGTACGACGTAGGTCGCCATAATTAAATATACAAGGTATAGAGTATAGCTGGATGAAATCGATAGCTGAGTCAATGTTCATGGTTATTTAAGATGGTGGATTGGATTGGTCCAACATCAAGTGTGTCATGCGTCACACATACTGAGTCTTTAACTTGGGCATCTCCGAATGAGTAAAATCGTTTCATCAGCAGCCTGTAATGTCCACTGCTGGACATAGGCCTCTCCTTAGAAAGGAGGTTTTAGCCTACTATACCACGCTGGCCAGACGGGTTGGTATAGGGTTTATTTCAAGTTTTCCTTCTTTTCGCAGTGTTGTTGTCTTGTGTAGTTTGTTCCCTTAGTCGGCTCTTACGACACCCACGGGATGAATAGGGGTGGTGACATTTCGTATTTTAAATCCGTCACAACACGGATTGTGTATCGTTTATCTTTGAAAAATAAAATTTATGTAAAAGGTTTCCTTTCTTCCTTTATAAATATGAATACCATACAGCCAAAGTTTTATACATAGTGTTTTTATTTTTATCCAGTTTAAATAAACAAATCAGTGTATTAAATTCAGAGTGAGCTCATCTAATGCTAGTTTTATAAATACATTATATTTTTGAATCAAATAGTTGTTTTCTAAAATTATTACTGTGAACATTTTTTCGTTTGACTGTACTATTTTTTGGCTTGAAAAAGATTTTGTATTTATTAATGGCGGTGGTCCCAGTTGCCGTCAGAAAAATATTTAAATTAAACGATTCGGAAAATGGGACCCCGGTCCTATTTAATTGCGGTCCAAATCGCCAGAACCCTCCACATCTGCACGGATGGCATTGTGGTTTAAGCGGTCACCTCGCCGCTTTCTACTGCGCTGAGTATTGTGGGTTCGATCGGCACATGGGACCATACTTTGTGCGATCCACAAATTGGTGTTCTGAGTTTGGGAATTATTTGTGTTAGTTTCACGTTCGTTTGCAAAGTCCTCTGCGGCATAGGATATATCCTAGTTTCTTTTAAAAAAAAAGAGCACATATCTACCAAGGATACGTTATTTTCTGATGGTATATGTTATATAAAGCCCGATTTTCGCTCTGACCAATATGGGCATGTAGGTTTTATTGCTTTTCTCTATGACCAGACATAAGGATAAATATTTACCTTTACAGACAAAATTACATGCCCTGACTGAAATAACAAAATCATAAAATTTTGGCAGCTAATGCTTTTTATGTTATAACCGTTGCATGTGATCGAGTTTCAGCTAGCCCAGTTCACAATATGCTTGCTCTCTGTTACGTTAGTGGAACTAAAATTATAGTTGACACAATGTGGGCGTCTAATACAATTCTACCTATCCCATCGGGACTACACGTGAGCGTATGATGTTATCTTAAAAATTAAAACATTACATTATCATAGCTGTCATTACTGAAAATATTACCGACCCAGACATTACAAACAATAAAATGTCAAACACCATTTTATGTTCAAGATATTGAGTGTGCAAGAAACTTACTGACGATAAAGAAGTTTGGAAAGAACTGCATACAGACACGAATAGTAAAAGTTATTTTATGTGCAGCACGACTCTTGCACTCACACAAGTATTTGGCGCAGAGACGGTCTAGAGTTTTATATAAATTCAGTAACTTTTAACTTCGTAGAAGTAACTGTTCGATTTGTCGATAAATTTAGGTACGTCTCGGAGTTTTTTTTGTTTGTGGTTATTTTCTTGCAGATTTAAAAGTCGTGTCCGTTCAGAAACAGCGCAGGTGAATGTTTGTTCCACTAATTTCACAGATAAGGTTTTAGTTTCTTCTGTAGAGGTGATCAACAAGTTAAATGTATGTAGGTATCTCGTCTGTCCATCATCAATAGGTTCACTTTTGGCTTAGTAACTCAATCGGTAGGGTGACCCTACACGTATTGTAGGATATTGTTGTCCTATTTCTATTGTACGAGAGCAATTTTGAGCTCTCAAAGCGTAATCTGGACAGTGTTTCATAGTCTGTGTGCAAATCCATACAGTTAATGTTTACCTCTTAAATATAGTAATTTACTATCCGACCGCGATCCATTGTTAACGACTGTATTACGAGTACTACATGTATGAAGAACCTGTACATTACTTACAAATGTGAAACAATTTCTCATTTGTACATTTAATATACGTAAATGTTTTTTGCAATCAGAGTTCTTTTTATAAGAATATTAAATTTTACGCATCGATTCCCATCTTTGAACTCGATTATTGCTAATATTCAATGGTTCTGTAATACAATTGATTTATTACTTTATTTAACTACGTTTTGCGGTTTGGAATTTGTACTTGCTGTGTTTTATTTATTGTTATCTTTGAGTATTTTTACCGAATATAAAGTATAAAAGTTAGGTACCTTGTAAGTTGTTTATGATTTATTTTATATAATGTCAGTTGGTGTCTTCTGCTAGGCTCTCTACAATCATAGCACCGACAACAGAGTGCGTGACCCTAATTTGTTAAAATTACTGAACTTTCTGGCTCATTTCTTCCTCGCCAGCCCTATCCGTTCTCGTCACAATTTACCTTCTTCCTTTGTTTCGCCTGATAAAGATAACATACCCAAGGAGGGTTGGCGTCTGGAGGGCAGCTGGCCATAAATAACTAGCCAATACCTATAGCGATATTATATATTGTGCCGAAGAAAAGTGGCGAATATGATGACGATGGGGACTATGCACATAGATTCCTGGAACGTTTAATTGTTTTCTTTTATAGTAAACCTCACTCAAATAAATAGAACTAAGATAGTACCACACTATAATAATAATAATATTTTTCTTACTCAAAGGTTAACTTAAAATCTATCATCATCATCATCAGTCTATCGCAGTCCACTGCTGTACATATGCCTCTCCCATTGCACGCGATTAAGATCGATTTTGTGCTTCTCGCATCCAGTTCCTGCTAGCCATCTTACGCAAATCGTTACTCCACCTGGACTGTGAGCGTCCTACACTACGTCAAATCTATGATATATTATAAAGTATTTGTTTATTGCTGACCTTTGTGAGATACTGATATCTGAACTAGGAAGATCTTTTCAGACAGATTACCAGGCTTCCCATTTACATTAAGTCTCAGACAGTATGGACACTATGAGCCTGAACTACTTTGCAAATACTATATGTATTAAAAGAAAGAGAAAATAAAAATATATAGAAACAAATACATTTAGTACTTTAGTACTACGAGTACATCCTAAAATGGTTGTCTATTTAACCTGTCATATTAAATTCATTCTGTTGATGTATTGTGAAGTAACTGAAATTAATAATTCATGTGATAAGAGTAATATATAAGAAGAATGTTAACTTAAATGTAGATTGAGCTCAGAATCTGCTCATGAATAACATTTTGCATTTG